AGAGCATTTGCTCCCAGGGATTTTGTGACATCGGTGCCATCTGAGGTTAGGAAGCGGGAAGCTCTGAGAGAGTCAGGCACACGCTGGCTCCACATGCCGCAAGCACTCAGAGGCTGCAGACAGCGGCAGCACAAATTCATCCTGTCAGATGCCTTGTGGCCATCAGGGAGCCACGCAGTCCTGTGTGTATCTCAGGGTGGCGGCCAAATATCCGGACTCTCCAAGGCCTCATCAGGACAGCCAGAACAATCCACACGGGACTGCGGGGGACGGGCCTCACGTCAGGACAAATCAGGGGCCCCAGGAGGGCGACTGACTGTGGCTCATTGCTTTGAACAAAGTGGGCCCCAGGGGCGGATGGAGGCGGAGCATGCAGCGGCTGCTCACTCTCTGGAGCTTGAGGGCTGCTCCTGTGAACCCGAGCCGGATCACGCTCTCGCGGCTGTGGCCCCTGCTAGGTGAGCACGCCAGGCGGCTGAGTGTTTGGGAGACAGAACTGCCGGCAGGTCCACCACGCATGGCTCGGCGTTGTGTTCTGACGGCTGTACCTCTCAGAAGTGCAGGCTGTGGCTGCTCATGCCGGGAGGCAGTTGTGCGCCTGATCTCACAAGCAGCCGCGGCTCCCTGATCTCACAAGCAGCCGCGGCTCCCTGATCTCACAAGCAGCCGCGGCTCCCTGATCTCACAAGCAGCCGCGGCTCCCTGGGACGCCGACCCCACAGATCCAGCCAGCAACACCGGCAGCGAGGTTCCTCAGGGAACCTCCCCGCGCGGGTACCTCCCTAGGGCTTCCCTCCTTTACATCACCTTCAAGAGTATTTCTGATCTCAGAGTTGCTCAGCAACAGGATTTCTACATTACATGAGCGCATACACCTCGGGCACTTCCTACCAAAGAACCAGCACAAATCACTTTCTACCACAGAGAAAACGCTGCCTTGAAAGGTCGTTTTGTTAATCATTTGAACCTTTCTGTATTTACAGTAGATGGGTTTTACAGTAGATAGGTTAAATCTGCAGATGTGTATTACCTTTCTAACTATATGGAACAGACTTTCATTGGGGCATCGGAGCCCATGGCCAGGGCTCCAAGTCCAAAGAGGCAATTGTTGGAGAAATGACTTAATACACTGCAAATCCCTCTATCTATATCCCTTCAAATGGGATGCCAAAGTGATTAGACTGAAAACATATCACAAACAAATTTACATTAAAAAATTGCTGTAATCATGCTCTGCTGCATTAAGCGAGGCTTAGAAGCTGCTACTTGGTGGCTACACTCGGAGTTCTTGGGGGCTGGCATGGTGCTTTGCGCCTTTCACCCACCCCTTTAGGAAAACAATATCTGTCCTTTATGAAGAGGTGCCTCTTCTACCAGTGTTCCCAGCTACGAGGGAAACAGGCATGCATATTTGGTGGAGCTCATCTGTGCTGGGATGCTCTTTAACTTAATCATACAGTGAAAGAGGCTCCCCGGTGACTCTGGACATCTGCCCAAGTGAGAGGGAAATCTCATCTTTTGGATGAAATGAACAATGAAATGAACAGCTGGAAAACAACCTGCCTAACAGGAGCGCATGGGTAGGGGGAGGAGGGCCTGCAGGGGAGAGGTGTGGGTGACTCCAGGGCCCTGGAGTTGGAGATGAGCAGGTACCGCTCTGCCCTCCTGTGACCTGTGTCTGCAAATCAGGGATGTGTTTCAGGCAAGTGCATTTCTTAGCTGTAGGAAAATCAAAGATCTTTGGCTATGAGGTACCTTGGGCACCATCGGAGCCAGAAGTACCGCAATCCTATCGTGTAGTTGGGAAAATCCTGCATGTAGGCAGAGTGGCAGGTTTTGGGGCTATAAGTATTTTAGATACAGTGATCACAGGGCGTCCAAACTTGGGAAGAGAGATAGTCTGAGTATTTTAAGGAAAGGAGAGGCCGTGAGTCCCCACTTTTTTCTTCTGACCTATTCAGCACTCTGCTCTTGCCTGGCAAGCTTGTGGATGCCAGGGTGGGCAGCAGGCTGGTGTGGATAGAAGACCATGAATAAAGACAGTACAAGATGCAGCTGCGCAACTTGCTTCTGCCGCAAGTTCCCAAGCCCCCAGCAGCTGAGCTTCACCAAGGAGTCCCTTCCCAAATGAAGGCCAGCCCAGGGGCTCCCGACCTGTGATTCTATGAGTCCACTCTGCAGATTCCCACCAAGCAGGGCTGAGACTTTCATTTGTGTGGTCAGCAGGGGAAGAAGATGCCACTGCTCCAAGACTAACCCCCTCAAGGTCGAGGAGGACTGGGGTCACCACCAGTGGTGGTGTAGGGTTCCTACCTTCTAAGTGGCTGCTCTGGACAATGCCCAGGTGTTGGTGCGTTTGCTAAGGCAAGGCTGGAGGGCCCGGGAAGCATACACTCACTGGACATGCAGCCACCACCCCTGGCAGAAAGCTGACAGTGGCTCTTCTTGCTTTTCTTGCCAGCTGTCCTGGCCCCAGCTACACTTCGGAGGAAGAAAGACTCAGTGACTCAGGATGAGAAAAGAAACAAGGCGTTGCCTATTTTCTTGGAATTTATCCCCCAAATCAGCAGACATTTCTTGGGGGAAGCAAAGAGCTCATGGGACCCTGCGTGTGCAGCCGGGGTTGCCCTATCCAACCCGATGGCCACTGCCACACGCAGCCACCGAGCCCAGAACCATGGCTGATTGGAACGGAGGTGTGCTCGGCAGCAAGACTGCAGCTTGAAGATTTAGTTCCAAAAAGAGTGAAATGTGTCGGTAATAATTTTAAAGCATCGATTACATGTGGAGATGATATTTTTTGGATACACTGGGTTGAATAATATTCACCGATATAATTAATTTCATCTGCTTCTGTTCACCTTTTATGTGGCCACTTGAAAATGTGCATTGTCCACGGTCTAAATTCTCTCCTGGTATGGATGCACTGACTCACGGGGCTGGTGGTGACAGCTCCGTCCTGGGACATTGTGGGGGACCTCACCGTACTGCACTTCTTACCTAAGAACCTGAAGATGAGCTGGTTTAAATCGAGGTGATAAGTGAGGCTCTTCCCTGTGTCACCCCTCTGCCCAGCTCTGGGGAAGCCCTAGCCCTTACTGGTCACGTGCCAGGGGAAGACCCACCGCCACGCTCTGCACACTGCAGGGGACACATCCTTCCGGACAGACAGGTCCCAGGCCCCACCTGCAGGGAGCACCCTCACCCTGCTCCAGACAGGGATCCTTGCTGGTGCGATTTTGCTGTGTGGCACCTGGCTTTGGGGGCGGTCTTAGAACCGGAAACCTGTGACTTTCATTTTGATAGACGGCATTGCTTTATTAGTGGCTACAGCTGAGAAGGCTACTAAATTTCACTTTGAAAAACAATCCTCCGCTCAACCCCAGGGAAAGTAGGTTGCTGATATTTTGGGGGAACAATAGATAAACAGCTTGACAATTATTTTTTAAAAGTTTCAATTTAATTTGAATTTTTACTTAAGGTAAATTATCAAAGAAAATTTTGATTAGTGAAGTAGCCTTTTTTGAAAACTTGTTTTTCACCCAAAGGGGGAAAGACAGGTTCTTCTCTTTCACCTTTTTCTTTTAATTTCATTTATTTGCTAATGAGTGGTAGCTTAAGGGTCAGTATCAGCATCTTGGAGACTTTTTGCGTCCTAAAAGCAGGGCTCCCAAATGCACGCAGTTGTTTGAAAATTGAAATCATTAATTCAGTCACAGATGGACACTACATAATTTGATATTAAAATTTAATCATATTATTTTTGCAAAAGAAATTGAAATCCAATACTTTATTTTGGTGCACACATCTCTGGTCTTAAATGAAATATACAGCTATCTCAAATTATCATATGGAAGTAATTTTTAAAGTTGATGTAGGATTGCTTTGAAATGACCTTAGGACATTTGGGTTTCCAGTTTTCCTGCACTAATTTATCGATAAATGTCTTAGCACTCAGCTTTTTAAATTCGCAGAACTGAAAACTAGCCTGCTGGGGAGATGGAACAAAGAATAAAAATGGAATTTGGCAAAAACCAGTGTTAAACAAACGTCTTTATGAGTAAGACTTCATCACACACTTTGATTTGCAAATACAAAAGGGCCCTTTGAAATGCATACAAGTTAAGCGCCATAGACAGGCGCTTCTCCGGCAATGGCTCTGTCGCCCTTAGCATTTACGATGGCCAACGTCAAGCACTGGCCCCTCGGAGGCTGCCGGTCGCAAAGCCACGCACAGAGCGAGGTCCCTGCCAGGATGTGCCCGTCCCGGGGGCCAGGGCAGCCGCGGGATTCCGAGCTCACACGGCCCAGACCCATCCGCGGTGCGCAGGGCTCCCCACAGGGTACTCACCCGTAGCCCGGCCTCCTCCCTCCCTCAGAAATGCGCGGGAGTCGCTGGGGTGGGGGCTTGGTCGGTCCTGGGGTCGATGGCTTCCTCCGAGGACCCTCCAGGGTCAAGTGTGCAGTGGCATCAAGGACCGGTTCTCCACGCAGCGCTCTTAGGCAGCGGGCAGAGGCGAGGCTGGGGAGTCCAGGGCATTTAGGGGTGAATTCGCAGACTTCCAGGCAGCTGTCTGTCCAGGGCAGTTCTGATCCTGAGCCTCTAGGATGGCCAGCAAATAAGTAGATCAAACTCAGACTCAGAGAAGCCGAAGAGCTCCTTGCCCGGAGCTTTCTCGCACCCGACTCCAGCTCCTTTGCCGACAACCACACTCGCGGCCTTGCGGTGCGCAGCCCCTCCGCCGCCTGCAGGAGCTGGAGACCGGAGCAGCCGGGAGGGGCGGCCGGGCCAGGCGTCCTCTGGGTCACGCCCGGCGGGGCGGTCCTCCGGACAAGCCGAGCCAGGCGACCCTGGCTGCGCCCCTGGGACCCCGCTGCAGGCTGCTTTTGGAAGTGACTGGCGCTGCACAAAGGGAGCGCGACGGTCACCCGCCACTCCCTGTTGAGGACAGGGGACGCTGCGGGTTCCGGACGTGGGTTCCAGCGCCAGGTCCCGCGCACCGGCTGTCAGCGGCGGGCGGTCTGCATCTCCGGCGCAGGAGCGGGGACAGTCCTGGGGAAAGGGGCGCAGGGGGCGCGCGGCCGCGGCCTCGTCGTGGTCACGGCTTCTCGCTGCAGTGTTTGCAGAGCGCAGAGGGCGAGCCGGAGAAGGCGGCACACTTGTCGGGGCAGGGGCCCAGGGCGGCACCCGCCGAGAAGGGGTACACGGCGGCCTGGCCAAAGGGCGTCAGGGGCGCCGGCGCGACGGGCGCGGCCAGGCCCTGGCCCTGGTTGAGGTAGGCCACCAGGCGCCGCATCTCGTCCAGGGCCTGCGCCTGCATGAGGATGTAGTTCTTGGCCAGCAGCAGCGTGGCGATCTTGGAGAGCTTGCGCACCGACGGGCTGTGCGCGTAGGGGATGACGGCGCGCAGCCCGTCCAGCGCGTCGTTCAGGTCGTGCATGCGG